CGGCGGCCGAGCGGGCGCAGCGTCGGCGTGACTAAGCACCCGCGGCGGGCCGGGCACAGGGCCGCTGTCCCCACCCCTCGCCAGCACCCGCCCCCGCAGCGCCTGGACCCGGACCAGGAACGGGAACCCTGGGAGCTGGGGAGGCGGCTCAGCGGTGAAGGGCATTGGCAGCTCTTTCAGAGAGGTCCTGAGTTCAATTCCCGGCAGCCACATGGAGGCTCGCGGCCATCTATAATGGGATCTGAGGCATGCAGAGAGCACGGTATACATAAAATAAAGAAAGAACGTGAACGTTTTGTTTCCCCCCAGCTTCTCCGGGATCCGCTCCTGCACTGCCAAGCCCTGTTAGGCCTTGACCCACGTCCAGATTCACCGGGGGCAGGAAGCAGGAATTTACATGTTAAACCCCACTTTTCCTCCCTAAAGTGATTCTCGGGAACTTGTACTTTTAAAAAGGCTGGGATAATGAGTTGAATGGCAGAAATGATTTTTGTGATCCACAGATGAAGCCTGAAGACAAAAGCATTGCTTCACCACGCTGTGGAAGAGACTGAGATGGAGCCGCCAATTAAACCGGCGAAGATCCCAGGCAGGGTCTTTGGGAACGGTGTATAGATGAATAAGCCTACGGCTAGGAGCCCAAGGCGAAGAAACGAGGAACACAGGGCGGGTAGGCCCCACACCGAATTAGAACGTTATAGAGTTCATTAAGTTGGGTTTTTTCCTGCTTGAAAAGTAATAATGACTTGGGAGGGGGAGGTAGGAGGAACCTGGGTTCAAAGTCATCAAGGAAGAAGGAAGGGTTTTTTTCCTTCTAGTATAGTACCCTGTAATAAATGTAGACAGAGTAACATCGAGAAAACATTTTCAAGGTTACAGTGAAGCAGCTTTGCTAGGAACCATCAATGATTGTTAAAATCACCGCGTTAAAGTTTGATGGGAATAAAGTTATGTAGACAGATAAAGTTTAGATAAATATATTATATATATATATATATATATATATATATATATATATACACACACACAGAGAGAGAGAGAGAGAGAGAGAGAGAGAGAGAGAAAGAGAGAGAGAGAGATTCCTTCTTGATCATAAAATGGAAAGGGTGCTATTTCTGCAGTCAACACCTTGTCCAAAAGACCAAGATTAAATACTGCTAGTAATGAGAAAGGTGCCGTTGCGAGGCAATAATAAGTATTCAATTTCATATACGAAACCGTCTTGCTTTTTAAGAATCCAGGGGCTGGAGAGATGGCGTAGTACTTAAATGTACTGGCTGCTCTTCCAGAGGAGCAGAGTTCGACTCCTGGCTCCCACATGACGGCTTACAACCATCTGTAATTCCAGTTGTCTAGTTCTGTGCAGACCGATATTACTTGGACTTACTACATGATTTCGGTGTCCAATATTGAGGCTCAGGATGAAAACTGAAGAGAATAGAGAACTAAAGCTTAAATTCGAAGTTAGCAGGAAGCACACTGTACTGTAAGAAACTTCAGAGGCAGTTTGCAAGTCTGCTTCGTTGAAAAACTGGATTTATAGTTTGCCTGTGGTGGCACATGCCTTTAATCCCTGCACTTGGGAGGCAGAGGCAGGCAGATCTCTGTGAGTCTGAGATTAGCCTGGTCTACATAGGAGTTCTAGGACAGCCAGGGCTCTACATAATAGAGAGACCCTGTCTCAAAAACCAGAGTGGGGAGGGGATGGGGGGGACGGGGGGGGGGGAGGGATCAGGTGGGAGTAAGATGGAGGGTGAGAGTACTGGAGGAGACAGCTGGGGGGGGGGGCATGACACGGACGACTTAGACCCCAGAAGATATATCCAGAGGAAATTACAAGGGTACTTGATTTGGAAATAAGACTACCATCCCTATTCTGAATTTAAATGTGTGGTATTTTTTTTTGTACCATTTAGTGTTTTACAGTGTGTGTAATGTGGATGTATATGTGTGTGCATGTGGGTGTGCATGCATGAAGCCAGTGGCTGAAATCAGGTTTCTTCCTCTCCCTCTCCACTTTATTCTTCCAGACAGGCTCTCTCTCAAAGGCTGGATCTCATCAACTTGGCTAGACTGGCTGGCCAGTGACTGCCAGGGATCTGCCTGTCTCCCTCAGTCCCCAGCACTGAGGTTCCAGAGCTGCTCCTGGCCTTAACGTGGGGCTGGGGATCCGAACTCAGGTCCTCATGGGTGTGTAAGCAGACACTTCACCAACTAAGCCATGGCCTCAGTCCTTATTTTTTAAGGTACATTGCAATACTTGAGATTAAAAAGAAAGCCAGGCATGGTGATATCACACCAGCAGTCCTAGTACTTGGGAGATAGAGATAGGAACAGGAGTTCAAGGTCATGCTTGGCTACAAAGTGAGTTTGAAACCAGGCTGAGATGCTTGAGACCTGTTTTCAAAAATAAATTAAGAAGCTGGGCTGTGGTGGTGGGTGGTGGTGGCGGCGGCGGCGGTGATGGCGCATGCCTTTGATCCCAGCACTGGGGAGGCAGAGGCAGGTGGATCTCTGTTTGAGTCCAGCCTAGTCTACAGAGTGAGTTCCAGGACAGCCAGGGCCTCACAGAAAAACCCCATCTTGAAAGAAATTAATAAAGAAAAGAAAAATAAAGAGACAGATACATTGACAACTTCTTGTCCTACCAGCTCCTTGGGGGCAGAGGCAAAAGGATTACAAATTTGAGGCAACCTATGCTACATGACAGACAAGACCCTGTTTCAAAAATACGATGGAATGGAATGCTTTTTATCTCAAAGGATGATGGAATAAAAACATCCCTCTCAGCTCAGAAATAAGGTAGTGGCCAGGTCTGAAGCTCATGCCTCACAAGGCAGAGGCAGGAGGATCTCTGTGAGTTTGAGGGCAGCCTAGTCCACATAATGAGACCCTGTCTCAAAAAAGGAAAAAAGGGGCTGGAGAGATGGCTTAGTGGTTAATATCGGCTGCTCTTCCAGAGGACGGGGTTTGGTTCCCTGCACCTACATGGCAGCTCACATGGAGTCTGTAACTCCAGTTCCAGGGGATCTGATACCCTCTCTGACCTCTGTGAGCAGTATACACACACACACACACACACATATGCAAAACACCCATACACACAAGAGGAAAATAGAATAAAAAGAGGAAGAAAGGAAGAGAAGGTGATTTCAACACTCTGCTATAATCATTTCTCCTCTTGTTTCTTTAATTTTAGTGGTATGTGCATGGTTGTTTTGCCTGTATGATGTCTGTGCATCATGTACATGCCTGGTACCCATGTATTGGTTAAATTATTAAGGCCACTGCACATAGTTAAAAGGAAGATTTATTTAGTGGGTAACTTACAAAAAAGGGAAAGGTAGGTTGTGGGGTCTGGGGAAGGTGTATCGCAATCCAGTGGTGTTCTCTGGAGCTCTGCTCAGTCAACCTCCACCGTCTAGGGTCCTGGAACAGAGAGAGCGCTGGCCCGCCCAGGTCTAGGGTCTCCAGGCGCCTCCCCTGGCCCCCGCCTTGTAGGCGTGACAGTTGCCAGAGTCTCAATGGGGGTTGGAACTTCCAGATCCAAGCTGGAATGGCTACCCACTACACCCATGCAGATAAGAGGGCATCATATTTTCTGGAACTGGAGTTATAGATAGTTGTGAGTTGCCGTGTGGTGCTGAAAATTGAACCCGTGGCCTCTTGAAGAGCAGCCAGTGCTCTTAACCACTAGACATCTCTCTAGTCCCAACCTCCTTTTTTTTTTTTTTTTAAACTTAAAAAGAATTTTTTTTTAAAGATAGGTCTCAGGTGAGCTCACCTGGAGTTTGCTATGTGGACCACACTGCCCTCAAACTCACAGAGAACCACTGCCTCCCAAGTTCTGGGATTAAAGGTGTATGCCACCACACCCTGTTTCTCTCATAATTTTTTAAACTAGCATACAAAATAACAGGTTTCCCTATAGGACTTCCATAGATACTTTGTTCTGGTTGATTTAACTATTTTTCCTTCTCTGCATACCTAAAGTTGTATTTGTTAATCCACTTATCTGTTGTTCATTGTTGGTGGTTTTCTTACTCTTTGTCTCTTTGGGAACCGGACACCCAGCTCCCAAATAAATCACACAAGGAAACTTATTCTTAATTATGAATGCCAAGCCTTAGCTGGGCTCCTTTCTTGCCAGCTTTTCTTAACTTTAAGTTAATCCATCTGTCTTTTGCCTTTGGGCTTTCACCTCTCTCTATTTCTGCATACCTTTCATTATTTCTTACTCCATTGCTGCTTGTGTAGCTGAGTGGCTGGCCCCTGATGTCCTCCTCCTTCTCTTGCTCCTAGATCTCTCCTCTCCCAGATTTCTCCTCCTATATATTCTCTCTGCCTGCCAGCCCCGCCTTTCCTTTCTCCTGCCTTGCTATTGACCGTTCAGTGCTTTATTAAACCATTAGGTGCTTTAGATAGGCACAGTAACACAGTTTCACAGAGTTAAATAAATGCAACATAAACAAAAGTAACACACCTTAAAATAATATTCAACAACAGTCATTTGTAGATTTTTTTAATCTTTAAATTACACTTATTTATTAAGTGTGTGTGTGTGTGTGTGTGTGTGTGTGTGTGTGCATGTGCAAGTACACACGTGGAGGTCAGAGGACAATGTTTGCAGTTTGTTTTCTACTTCTACCATGCGGGTTCCAGGGTCAAGCTTAGGTCACCAGGCTTGGTAATGTGTACCTCTACCCAAATGTGCCCTTTT